AAAAAAAAAAAAAAAAGAATACTTGGCAGGAGGCAAAGTGTTTGGGCTCCCAAATGGGTCACCAAATTGGCGTATTAACCACATTTCAGTTTTCTTCTCTCCAGTTGTTGGTGGTCTTCACTCTCTAAGTGAAAACTAATATCGTTCCTTCCCTTGGGGTTTCTTAATGACACTGTAAAGCAATTTGTTCAAAGCCCGAAGGAACTCTTCGGCAACTTCATCAAGCCAGGTTGTTCTTCAGCAAGGTGGTTCTTCTTATTGTAGTCAATGATACTTAGACTCTCTACCCAAGTTAACAAAGTTGTTAACCTATCTTCAAAACACAGGCAATTAAAAAAAACATAAAGAAATAACTTTCCAAAGGGGCCCCATGGAAGAGAAAAACAAAAAACTAAGCCACAAGATGAGTTCAGTTTCAAATCTGAAAGGTGACTGCCATATAGTTTTGGGATTTCCACTAGTCCCTAACTGACCAGTAAGCCATATATTTATCTTTTATGATTTCAAGTTTTAGAACATATTTTCCCCCACTCAATCCAGGACCTTTTAATGCAATCTCTTTCAAAGCAGTTGGTAGTGGTAGTTGGTACTACCTAGTTATTCTGATCTTAGGGTAATGAAGACTGATGTTCCCATGGCACATTAGACCTTTGGACTGTTACCACGTGTCTTCGATTTTCAACATTCTTCCTGCTTCCTTGCTTGTTTTTTAAGCATTGTGCCTTGTCTTCTTGTATGGTCTTCCTTATTCATTGTCCTTATTCTAAGAAAGATCCTAGAAGAATTGATTCATTTGAGTTATGTTGTTAGAGGAGAATATTACAAGTACCATGGACTGCTAAAGGAACAAATCTGTGTTGGAAGAAGTACAACCAGAATGAACCTTAGAAGACAGGATGGCCAGATTCGTCTTTCATACTTTGGACATATTATCAGGAAGGATCAACATCTCTGGGGAAGAACATCATACTTGGTAAAGTAGAGGGCCAGCGGAAAAGAGGAAGACCCCCAATAAGATGGATTGGCACAGTAGCAGCAGCAATGGGTTCACACACAGAAATGATTGTGAGATTGGCACAGGACCGGCAGTGTTTCCTGCTATTGTACATAGGTTGTGCCCTGACTCGACAGCACCTAACAACACCACCCTTGTCTTTGGACTGAGTTTGGCCTGACCACTGAATTTTAAGCTGCAGGATCTGTATGATACACACCTGCATGCGTACTTGGGTGTTTTATAAAATCTATTCATAATATTGCTGTTTTGTTGTTGTTAAGTGCTGTTGTGTTGGTTTAGACTCATACAGACCCTGGATGGGGCTTCTGAGGAGTTGGTGGGTTTGAACTGCGAACCATGTGGTTAACAGTCCAGTGCTTATCCTACAGCACCACACCAGGACTCAATTATAATTAATGGATGGTTTTTAACAGAGTTATAAAACACTCATGTACGCATACAGGTATGTACCATAAAGATCCTAAGGCTTAAAATTCAGTGGTCAAGCCAAACTCAGTCTGAAGATAAGCATAGTGCTTAAAAACAAACAAGGAAGCAAGAAGAGTGATGAAAATCGAAGACATGTGTAAACAATTGGTCCAAAGGACTAATAAGCCACAGATAATCAGTCTTCATGACCCTGGTGCGCTGCAATAGGGAAAGCACTGCAAGGTCAGTGGTTCAAAACCATCAATTGCTCCTCTGTAACCCTATACAGGGTTGCTGTGAGTTGGAACCAAGTTGACAGCACTTAATAACATTAATAATAAGGAAAATTTCTGATAATAAGGACTCAAGTAAATAAAAAACATCAGGAAAATTTTCAATGACTTCCAAAAGACAGTAGTATCATTACAGATATCCTAAGTTGGTTATTTCTTCCACTTTGTACTCATAATTAAGATACTTTTATATGACAGAGAACATAATCTTTTAAGATTACTTACACAACTCTGAGATTTTTAGATTCCATTATTGATGGAACAAATATTCTAGTAACAATAATGTGCCCATGAAATAATTATTACAAATAAATTAAAATGTGCTGAATTTACTCATCATTGAAATATGTGGCTTAAATATTTTTATTTAAATATCCAATTTGCATTTTTGATATGGTATTAATGTAGCCTCTATGTCATTTATCAATCACGCTTTACAATTAAAAAAAAAATTAGCAACAGCATCTTTCTTTTTTAAGTTCTTTCTAGATGCAATAAAAGAGTGTATTTAAATAAACAATACCCAATGTCCCAAAAGTCCATATTAATTTCTCCTTCCACTGTACTTCCTAGCATCTTTGTTATTATTTGGTAGTATTATATTTTTGATGTTTAATCTCCTCTAGGCGTCTTTCAACATAGCAGAAAGCATGTCTTATTCATCTTTTATCTCTATAAATAAGCACTAAATGTACACACTAAAAAAAAAGTCTGAAAGTGAGAAACTTTGCTTTTCCCAAGATAGTAGTGATGATCTCAAGCTAAATTCTTTCAAGTTCTGAAATTGAGCATTTTCATGATTAAAAATTATTAATATGCCTTTGGAGCCTTGGTAACATAGTGAATTATGAGCTGTACTGCTAACCGTAAGATCAGTATTCGAATTTACCACTTGCTCCACAGGAAAAAGATGAGGCTTTCTGCTTCCGTAGAGATTTACAGCTTCAGGAATCCTATACCGGGTAACTGTGGGTCAGAACCGACTTGGTGACACATAACCACCACCATCGCCATTATGCCTTTAGTATTGCAACACAATTCAGAGACGTTCTCAGTATGAGTGGCTGGTTTTACTAAAATTTATGCAGCAGTATTTTTAGATAGGTAAATAATGTACTAATTTTATAGTCTTTTGATTTAAGAAAATAAAATTTGGGGAATGTTACTTATGCCTAAGCTTAGTTTTAAAAATGTGAAAGGAGGATGATATGTTTTTAGAAAGCATCATTTGCAATCATTAAATCTTACCTGAGGATTCCAACCTGGATCTAATTTCTTAACTACTGCGATATATTCTTGCATTGCCTGGCTGGGGCTTGAATCACCAAGTGCTTTCCATGCTTCCCTATGGTACAGAATATGCAGAATAGCCTGTCATTAGCTATGTAAGCAACAGAAACAGTATTTTTTTTAACAAAAAGTAATGTATATACACATTTGAAGAGCCAGAAGATCTTGAAATTATAAGTCATAGATAGCAGCCCTCTCTTTGACTTTACATTGGTCCATGGCAGTTTTTCAACCTTTTTTTCCCCATGTTGTCCCACCTAATGAGTCTTTTGAGACATTTTGTTCTAACCACACTCATGCATGGTATTTTAATAACACAGATATACTGCACATCTGTTAAATTTTAGAGAGCTATAAACCACTGTCCACCTCCATCTGTCAGTGTGTCATACTGTGGTGGTTAGCATACTGCTGAGATGCTGGAAGCTATGCCGCCAGTTTTACAAATACCAGCAGGGTCATCTATGGTTTCGGCTGGCCTTCCAGACTAAGACAGGCTGAGAAAAAAAGGTCTAGTAGTCAATGAAAACCTTATGGATCACAACAGAGCACTGTCTGATTAGCTTGCTTTGGGCACATCATCAGGAGGATGTTGGTGGAGGAGATCACATTTGGTGAAGCAGAGGGACAGTAAGGAAGAGGGAGACCCTGGGTGAAATGGACTGGCACAATAGCCACAACAGTGAACTAGCACATCAGGTAGGTGACCATGAGGATGATGATAAGGTCATCATGAGTAAGAGGAGATTCAGTAACAGAGATCTCTTTACCTACCTAACTACTCATCTAGAAACCATTTTAATACCTAAGATTTTATTGTTGTTGCTGTTAAGTGCCATCGAATCTCTTCTGACTCTAGCAATGACACCGTATGGGGTTTCTGAGGAGCAGCTGATGAGCTTGAACCTCCAACCTTGTGGTTCAAACCAACCCTTGCCGTCCAGCTCATTAACCCACAGTGCCACACCAGGACAAAAACACATTTTTCATCCCTGTTGAGAATGCATGGTCTGTAATCCAAAAAAAAGTAGGTCTCATCTTATACATTATCTGTACTTAAGGAATCAGTAGTCCCTGTGTGGTGCAAGTAGCTAAGTGCTCAAGAAAGAGCTTAAAGGTTGCAGTTCGAATCTACCCAGAGGCATCTTGGAAGATAGTCCTGGGGGTTCTGCTTCCAAAAGGTTACCATCTTAGAACTTTATGGAATAGTTCTACTTTGCACACTTGGGATTGCCATGAGTGGGAATCAACTCAACAGTAGCTCACAGAAATGGTATCAATAGTAGGAACCATCATCACACAAAATATTCCCTGGAAAAGTCCTTCACATTTCTTACTTGAGGTGCAAGGAAGACACCCTATCCTTCTGATGATGAGTGTGACACCACTCCTCTTAAGTGTGTCATTCCCAGCATAGTAAACCAGATGACTGTCATATTCAAAGTGACTAATACCATTCCATTTAGCTCACTGTTGTTGTTGTTCAGTGCCATAGAGTTGGTTCTGACCCATAGTGACCCTGCATAGGGTTTCTGAGGCACAGCTGGTGAGCTTGAACCACTGACCTTGAAGTTCAAACTGACTCTGCAGTTCAGCACATTAGTCCACAGTGCCACACCAGGCATTAGCTCACTTAACACTTAGGATACAATCTTTATGTGTTCCATTTCATTGTTTACAACTTCCAATTTAACAAGATTCATACATTCCATGTTTTGATTATTAATGGATATTTACAGGTGTTTATCCTCATTTTGAAGGAGCTCTGGTAGCGTAGTGGTTATGAATCGGGCTGCAAACCGCAAGGTCAGCAGTTCAAAACTACCAGCTGCTCTGCAGGAGAAAGATGAGGCTTTCTGCTCCCATAAAGATTTACAGCCTTGGAAACCCTGTTCAGGGTCGCTATGGGTCGGAACCGACTCAACAGCACTTAACAACAACAACAATCCTCATTTTGAGTTGTGCCCCATCAGTAAATGAAGATCCCAAAAGCTTTCCTCCATTTGCTTCATCACGGTCAACTCTACTTTGAGGGGGCTGCTCTTCCCCAGTTGTATTTTGAGTGCCTTCCAACCTGAGGGGTTCATCTTCCAGCACTATATCTGACAATATTCTGGTGTTATTCGTCATGTTTCAATATTCAGTATTCTGGTACTGACAGTGTTCTACTACTTTTCACTAAATTTTCAGTGACTAAACATTCCTGGTGTGGCACTGTAGGATAAGCACTTGACCTCTAGGTCAGTGGTTCAAATTCACCAGTCACTCCTCGGAAACACTATATATGGTAGCTATGAGTTGGAACTGACTCGACAGTACTTAACAACAGAAAAAAGCATTGAGAAGTAATCTGCCTCTCCATCCTAGTCTGTCTTAGTCTAGAAGTTCAGCTGAAACCTGTCCACCATGGGTGACCTGCTGGTATTTAAAATACCGGTGGCATAGCTTCCAGCGTCACAGCAGTATGTAAGCCACAAAGTATGACAAATTGTCAGTCAAATGGTGGAAACAGTCTGCTTAGTAGCATAATTGATTTACATTCTTGTTTAACGTCTATATCTCCTTACAGATGGGTTTGCAGACAGGAAATTTTTCCAGAGAAAATACACTGGATCATAAGGTCAGTTTGAACTGCAAGGTTGGCGGTTCAAATCCACCAGTCACTCCTCAGAAACCCTACACAGGGTTACTATGGGTCAGAACCGACTCAACGGCACTTAACAATAACAACAACAAACACTCTGATTAGCCTTACTCTAGAATGTAAAGTTAGAATCCATCGTCCTTAGTACTTCCTCTCTCAGCATATATATTTCATGTTTTTTAACTCTACCCTCTCTACGGTGGTGGTGGTGGTGGTTGTGTGCCATCAAGTTGGTTCTGACTCATAGTGACCCTGTATAAGGTTTCAGAGGCTGTAAATCCTATGGGAGCAGAAAGCCTTGTCTTTCTCTGGAGGAACGGTTGGTAGACTCAAACCGCTGACCTTGCGGTTAGCAGCCCAACACATAATCCACTACGTTACCAGGGCCCCTTTTCCCTCTCTATATACCTTTTAATTCCAGGACTAAGGCTCCAGAGTACTCCCTTCTATAACAAAGGCCCCTTGTAGTATGCAATTTCTTTTTAAACTTAGACAAGGTAAGAAAAATAAGCATTCATAAATGATAAGAGAGGGCCTTTGAATTAGAAGTAAAAATATTAGGCCATGGGAGGAGGGAAAGGGGTATAATCCTTTACTATATGTTCAGAATAAGAATCAGTATCTGTTGTTTTCTTTTCCTCCGAAAAATCCCTTCAAAGGGGAGAAGTGGTAACCCATCAGGGGTTTTATGATAGGAAAGGAAAACCTCACACAAAAGCTTTCTAATATAAAAAATGTATGAGGGGGCATCAGAAAGTTCATGGAAAAATTAAATGAAAAGATAATGGATTTTTCCCACAAACTTTCTGAAGTCCCCTGATACGTCTATTGTGAACATTAAGGCTTAAGAATCCTTCAGGAGATTTAGCTAAAATTGGATTCTATTAATCGCTCTCCCAATTGCCTGTCATTAGTATAGTCTACATCAGGGAGAGATTAATATAAAAATTCTTTAATCTGCTCACTGCTTTATATAATTCCTAAACACCTAAATCATTTCCATCAACATCAGTAGAGAGAGCAAGAATTTCTTACCATTTTTGCTTTCCTTCAAAATCAAAGAAGCTTGGTTTAGGAGTATTGCAATTTCCAACTTTGACCTAAATGAGGGGGGAAAAATTCAAGAACTTATTTTTCAAAATAAGTGCTTGAGAAGCTTTTTGTTTTAAAATGTATTATGTATAGTTAGCAACTACAGTTTAGAAAACATTCCCATTAGTATAGAATAATATAGTTTAACATTCCTTAAAAAAGCAAACTTAAAAAAATAAAATAAACCTTAAATGCATGCTGCTTTGACTTGCTACATAAAACAACTGTTAATCTATTACTATAGTAAAGAAAAAATATGGGAGGCAGTTGCTTTCCTAAATAAGTAAACAAATGACACATATATAACAAATTATAAATACAAATTATGCAGTCCTTATTATCACTTACAACACAGAATTTTTTAACATACCATTAAAGGTCAGTTGATCAGAATTCATTGTTTACTGATTCTGACAGCACTATTACCATTTCATCTCTTCCAAATTCCAGGATAAAGAGCATTATTTTAAAAGTGCCCTATGATGAACTCTTCTATATCAATTTAGATGACAAAAGTCATGCAAAAACAAGTTCAAAAGTTTCTCAACAAAACAAATTTTAACTATTCCAAAATAATCCTTTCTTGTTTACCATCAATATCTATTTTCAATCTTCAAATGGCATTGCAGTTCAATTAGGGCAATTATTCACAAAAGTACAAACTCATTATACAGTCCCTGACTCCCTTCAGCAGATGTTGTCTCCCTTTTCTGTGAACTCTCATAGCACTTAGTCTGTATACCTCTTAGGGCATTTTTCACTTTACCTTGGGGTCCTGGTGTGGGGTGGGCCTATGGGTTAATGCACTGGATTGCACAGTCGGTTTGAACAGCAAGGTAGACAGTTCAAGCTCACCAGCCACACCTCGGAAACCGTATACAGGGTCACTATGAGTCGGAACTAACTTGACAGCATTTAACAACAACAGCAACAACCTTGTGTTAGAAAGTTTTGTGAGTCTCATCTTTCCAGTCTCATTTTGGAGAACAGAGCCTCTAAGAAGCTGTCTTAATTCACCTATACCATCTAATACAATGCCTAACTAAAAGTACCAAAAAAAAAAAAAAGTTTGTTGAATATGAATGAGTACATTAGATATGTGCAAAAAATACCTATCCTATTTCCAGTAATACTAAATGCTACAATCTGATCTGATTGATTTCCAAGGGGCCCTTCCTACTACCTCCTGTTATTCTTACATCCTTAAGTTTTGCTAACATCAGATTGATTCCTTTACTCAATCACAGTGGCCTTAGGGATTTTTAGTTGTATGTTTTGCTCCTGTTATTTCCTCACCTACAGTACTGTCTCTTCGTTCAGCTTTTCAAAATGTGAAAATCTCCTTCAAGTCCCACTCAGGGCTCAGGTCCTATCAGCCCTCTCTGTCTACTGTGATCGCACTCACTTCTGAATTCATAAGTAATTATCACCTTTATCATTTACTAGCAATTAATTGGACTCCTGGTGTGATATCATAGCACTAGACCACAAGGTCAGTTTGAATGACAACATCAGTGGTTCAAACTCACTAACTGCTCCTCAAAAACCCTATACAGGTCGTTATGAGTTAGACCCAATTTGATGGCACATAACAACAGCAATTAATTATATGGTCCTGTGACTGTTATACTGCACACTTAAGCAGGAACAGCCCTGCTATGGTGAGGACAGAGAGAAAAGTGGGTTAAAAAAAAGCTTCAGATATCTTATTATCTTGAATGGACTATACAGTAATCCTGTGAGATATGCCATTACAAACTCATTTTACAAAGGAAGATAGGGGAGTTCAGGGCAGTTGATGCAATTCACACAAGAAGAAATAAAACAGGATTTGAATTCACAACAGTTTGACTCCAAAGCACAACATTCCTATATTACAACACTCTGCCTTACATGCTATACAGAATCTGGGTTTCAGATCTGGCACAAGTAATATCACTTGAACTACTGGATTGCTAGAAACTGAAATGAGATAAACTCTATAAACTCTAAAGCACCATAAAAATCGTTGTTATTATTATTTCTGTTTTCTATCCAAGGAGCTCTGGTAGCATAGTGGTTACAAATCGGACTGCTAACCTCAGGGTCAGCAGTTCAAAACTACCAGCTCTTCCGCAGGAGAAAGATGAGGCTTTCTGCTCCTGTAAAGATTTACAGCCTTGGAAATCTGTGCAGTGTCACTATGAGTCCGAACTGACTCCACAGCACATAACAGCAATAATAATCCAAATATCAATAAATGGCAGAAACAAATACCAATATCTGTTATCCGATTCCAAGACACTTACCAACAACAGCATGTACTGGTAATAACACAAGTTTCTACTGGACACATGGCCACCTAGATAACCATTAAATGTGGCCATGCAACTTCTGCCTTGGTTCTAGGGATTAGGTATGTGTGCAAGTGATACACAGTCTTTAAAAAAGACACCTGTCCCCTCTGTGCTTGTTGCTGAAGAACATGCACATGTGGTGACAATGAGCCACCTCTCGCCATTGAGAGAGGACCTTTGGGCAGTGCTTCTCAAAGGTTTTGGTCTCATGGTCCCCTTACACTTTTAGAAATTGAGGATCCCAAACTGCTTTTGTTTATATAAGTTTTATCTATAAATATTTACTATATTAGAAATAAAAACTGAAACATATATACTGATACACTTTAACAATGTTGTTGTTGTTAAGTGCTGTCGACTCGATTCCGACCCATAGCGACCCTGTATAGGGTTTCCGAGGAGTAGCTGGTGAGCTTAAACTGCCGATCTTGCAGTTCAAACGCTGCAGTCTGGCGCATTAACCCACAGCGCCACACCAGGACAATAAGAAGCATAAAATAAAAATAACAAAAATAACATTAACATAAACCATAAAATTTATGAAAAAACAACTGCGTATTCTAAAATAAAATAAAAATTCTGTGAGAAAAGTGTTACTGATTTACATTTTATAAATGTCTTGCACGTGTTGACTTAAACAGCAGGCAGCTGAATTCTCATATATACAAGTATTAAAATTTTGACATCTACGGGTTTATAACAAATGGGCACTACTGTGCGAAAGGCTTATCAAGACCTTATTATTACTGTATTATTATATTAAAGATGTTTTAGTGTACTGGGAAGTGTTTCTTTTAATGTTTTTTATGCATAGAAAGAAAGAGTCCTGGTATTGCAGCTGTTAAAGCGTATGGCTGCTAATCCAATGTGGTGGGTTTGATCACACCAGCTGTTCTGTGGGGAAAAGATGTGGCAGTCTACTTCAGTAAAAACTGCAGCCTTAGAAACCCTGTGAGACAGTTTTCTCTGTCCTATATAGTTGCTAGGAGTTAGAATCAACTTGAGGGCAGTGGGTGCTTTTGGAATGCATAGAAGGGTTCATTTATGTACTGTATACAGTATTTTTTTGCCTATAATGTACCCACATAAATGAACATACACATATAACATGCATGACACACATATGAAACTAATATGCAAGGAGGTGGTTCAATTTGTACTAAGACAAATATTTGACTGACATTAGACATGAAACGTACCTAACAGTTCCCACTTATGTACAAATTTAACTTAAAGACAGACTTGGGATTAGAACTTGTTCATAATCAGAGGGGTGGCCTATAGTTACTTTTGCTGGCAGAGTTAAAAACGAATGCACAGAAGGACCAAAAAAAATGTCAACTTTTTCATTTAAAAATCGTTTGAGAACCACAGGCTTATATGAGACTAAAAGAGCTATTATGTTTGGTAAGTTTAGAGATCAGCTTGAGAAAATAAGGTTTTTAACTAAGCTTATTTTTATTATCTTCCTACCTTGGCACTGTAGGATAAGTACTCAAGCATAAGGTCGGTTTGAACTGCAAGATCGGTTCACTCAAATCACTCCTTCTTCAGAAACCCTATTCAGGGTCACTATGAGTCAGAAAAGGAGCTCTGGTAGCTTAGTGGTTACAAATCGGGCAGTGAACCACAAGGTCAGTAGTTTGAAACTACCAGCTGTTCCACTGGAGAAAGATGAGGCTTTCTGCTCCCTTGGAATCCCTGTACAGGGTCGCTATGAGTTGGAACCAACTCCACGGCACGTAACAACCACAACCAGGTAGGAACTAGAATCCCGGTGTGGCGCTGTGGGTTAATGTGATGAACTGCAAAGTCAATTTGAACTGAAAGGCTGACAGTTCAAGCTCACCAGCCACTCCTCGGAAACCCTATACAGGGTGGCTATGGGTTGGAACCAACTCCATGGCACTTAAAAAACAACAACATGCAGGAATTATGGAGTCCTGGTGTGGCGCTGTAGGATAAGCACTAGACCGCAAGGTCAATTTGAACCACAAGGTTGGAGGTTCAAACTCGCTCCTTGGAAATCTTATACAGGGGCTCTATGAGTCATAACAGACTCAACAGCACATAACAACAACAAAACAACAACCTGCAGGAATTATACTGGATATTCAATTTTGTCATTCTACTAAAGTTGCTATTGTTAAAAATAAAATAATTAGGGGAGATTCATGAAAATTGTGACTTAATGTCATATCTAAGCAAGCTCTCCTAACGTCAAGTTCTGGAAGTGGTGAGGATCACTCTTCCTCCAGAATATCGCGTAAGGTGAGTACACCTGAGACAGAATGGCCACAAGCTGACAGGTGATTGTAGTTCACTGATGACTCAGAAACCAGACACTTAATACTGATGATGCTAAGATCAATACGTACAAATAGGTTCAAGAAAGAAGAATGTTTCCTGAGGAATTTGGAGAAAACATGTAGAATAAGCACTGGACTGCTAACCACAAGGTTGGCGGTTCAAACCCTCTAGCCACAACCTCAAAAACACTATACAGGGTAAGTACAAGTCAGAACAGACTTGATGGCAACAAGTCTTACAGTGCCCAGAAAATCAGCAGTCATGCATGTGCCAATGTTCAACAAATACAAGACAGCTTCAAAAAGTTTGTGGGGACAAGAGAGGAACACACAAATAGAATGTGGGACCTTATCCAAAGAAGCAGCAGCACCAGAGATGGAGGTAGAGATGGGGGCATGAAGGACTCTAGATTCATCAACTAAGAAGAGAAGGACTAAGAACTGGTGGCCAGGAGCAGACTTGCAGAATGTGCCCTTTAGAGATGTAAATTATTATATATGCCTGAGTGGGTTTTTTTGTTTGTGTGTTTTTGAAAAAAAAAAAGCTAACGTGGATAAAGAGAAATACTTTTAACTAATGGTATATGGAGGGGATTATAATCAATGTAATGAAACAAGTTATATGAATTGTTGAATGTGAAACTGATGATGTGTCCTGTAAACTTTCACTCAATCCACAATAAAAACCTTAAATTAAAAAAAAAAAAAAAAGTTTGTGGGGAAATGCCATTATCTTTTTTTTTTTTTTTTTATGTTTTATTGTGAATTATGTGATAGTTTACATGGGAGAACATGGTTTCATTGCCATGGTTACAATCCCCTCCATGCATTATCAGCCAACAAAAGGGTTGATAAGCCTGTCCCTTGGTCATCAGCACACAGCCCCTCTCCCTCTCTGGGTCTAGAGTCCCCAACCACTCCATCTCTGGTGTCACTGTTTCTCTGGGTAGGGTCCTGCATTGCGCTCTTTTACCTTGATGGTCCAAGGACCCTTGCTCCTGGACTGCAAAATCAACCACTCTCCTCCTTTTGCTACAAAGCATCTACCTTAACATTTCCAACCCTCACAATTAGTCCTGATAATAATTATTCACTATTGCACCACAAGAAACAATATAGTCTTATCCTCATCTCCTTTCATCAACCCCACCCAGACAGACTGGATACTACTCAGTGAAATTTTACCTTCCTCCACGCCCTCTGGATCTAGGCTCCCTCTTGAAAGCTTGTAAGCTTTACATTCATCCTATCATATATGGTTTCATTGCTCCGCTCCCCCCCTCCCCCATTTTGGGTAGCCAATGTCCAAGTTGCCCATCCCTGTCTACTCTGTGTATGGAGGAGGTGAGAATGATCCTCGCTTTAAAGATTTGTTCCCTCTTTTGAGCCACTGCATTCATAGGTGTAGGTAAAGTTCATCAAATTGTATCAGATTACTCTTTTTTTCCTCTTCTTTCTTCTTCTAGCTGAGTTCTGATCATGCAGCCATTGAAGTCAGGTCAAGTGGGTATTATCTGCAAGTGTGGGTGTTCTTGTGCATGTGCCCTCTCTTCTTATCAGCTGGACGCTTCACTCTCCACTCTAGTCCTCTGTGGCTATGTATGTCACTGACTCTGGGCGCCATTATTTTTTAATTCCATTTTTTCACATACTTTGTGAAACCCCCCTCAAACTTGTTAAATAATCAAGTTTCATTCTAATGTTGTTAGAAAAAAGTAAATGACCAAAGAGAAAATAGATATCCAGACCTTCTGCAACAAAATAAATTCCAAGGCCATTTTGGGGTCAATTTCCATTCAACACATTAACTGATATTCAGACTAATGATGATCGGTCTTCAAAAGAAAGTTTATCTATATTTAGTATATTCATTTAAGAATTCAGAGAAACGTGTAATGATATTTTAGAAAGATTTCCACCCATAAGTTAAAATGTTGTTGCTGTTAAGTGCTGTCGAGTCAATCCGACCCATAGCGACCCTGTATAGGGTTTCCAAGGAGCAGCTGATGAGCTTGAACCACTGACCTTGAAGTTCAAACGGATTTGCAGTCTGGCACATTAACCCATAGCGCCACAACAGGACTCCACAAGTTAAAATACATGAGGTCAAATAAAGGATTTAAAAAAAAAGTTTTAATGGGCTATTATCCAGAATTTCATTTCCTCCAAACAACTGGAGATTCCCTAACTCTTGAGTCAATTCTTTTACTTACTTACATCTAGACTTCTCAAATACTTTGTAAGCTTCTTAAAGACAAGTATCTGGAAACTTTTGTTTCTATATTGCATTCCCTGGAGGAATAACACTAGTTTTGCACATACTGAACAAATATTTAATTGACAAAGCAGTTCTTTTCCTTCTGTCACCTAATCAGTTACTCGCATGAGAAATAAACATGTCTTACAAGAGTAACTCATTCATTTACCAGTACATGCTGTTGTTGGTAAGTGCCTTGGAATCGGATCTGACTCACAGCCACCCTACATAGGGTTTCCAAGGAGCAGCTGGTGGGTTTGAACTGCCGACCTTGTGGTTAGCAGTCCAGTGCTCATCCTATAGTGCCACACCAGGACTTGTACATATTTCCAGGTAAAGTTCAGAAGAGATAGTAGTTGCAATTTATCTGTATGACCGTGGGCAAGTTACCTACTCTCTATGGGCTTTGTTTACTTTTTCTGTAAATGTTGTTAAATGCCATCGAATTGGTTCCGACGCATAGTAACCCTGTATAGGGTTCCTGAGGAGTGGCTGGTGAGTTTGAACCACAGACCTTGAGGTTCAACCCAACCTTGCAGTCCAGGACCACTAACCCACAGTGCCCCTAATCTTCACGAGATCTAAAATTTTTATTGTATCTAACAGATGGAAATATTCAGCCAAAAAGCAAGTCTAAGGAAGTTAGTGTTACAAAAAAACAACAACACAAGAATCAAAGTAGCACTTTTATTTTTGCATCGCATACAATCACATCGTTTTCTTGGATCGCAAAGCTTTTTATTAGTTACTATATTACTTCTACATGACTCTGGCAATCATGAACGATAAATCTTACTTTATTATCCTCATTTTGTAAAGGTTGAGGCTCATAGAAGCGTACGTACAAGGTCACTGAGCAAGTCCAAGTGGACAGAAAAACTACCATTTAGGGTCCAACTAAACATCACTCCGAGGGGAGTGACCTGGGCCTTCCTACCGCTAGTGATGCTAATCCCCAGCAGATGATGAAAAAACAAAACACACTTACAACTTGATCATACCTATTCATTAACCATGCACGTTGGTGTCAGTTTGGGGAGGAATGAGAAGAACCCCCTCCCACATCCGCCTTTGCCTTAGACGACTTTACCTGCTTGTACCGGGCATACAGGTACAGGAGCTGCTCCCTGCTGGCCACCTGAATCAGGCCTTGGAGGTGCGCTGCAGCCTTCTCGAACAGCTCCGTCAGGTTCCTGGATGTCTCGGTTTCGGCACTCTGGAACGATTCACCGACATCTCCGGAGTCGTCCCCCGAGCTGAGTTCTCCGCCGCTGTCGCCCGTGGTGGCCCCCGTGGGTAGGAATGGCGAGGCCATGTCGCCGTGCTCTGTCAGTTCCTCTGTGTCGGGTCTACCCTCCTCAATCCGGATGTACCGCCAGCTCCCGGGATTCGCAAACCAGTGTCGGTCTTGAGTCCGATCTCGACTCGGACCCAAAGCGCACCTACTCGGCGCTGCCCCACAAAACTCTATCTCCCTCCCACATCCACTCCCAGGGCGTGCAGAGAAGCTCTGCTACTCTCCGCAGCTCTCTATTAGAAGATCCAGTCTCCCCGTGTTCGCTTCGGCTAAAAGAACCGTCAGACTCGCAGTGGGTCCCCCAACGGCGCAGAACGGGGGAGGCAGCGTAGCCAGAGGTATGGGAGTGAAGTCAGCGCGCGGAGCTGCGTGCGCGCCTGAACTCGTGGCCGAGCACGCGCCCGGGGCAGCGCGCAGCGACGTGCGGCGCGCTACTCATTTGTGCCTGCTCAGCGCTGGTAGGGGAAGCGTGGGCGGACCTACGTTGGACGTCTTCCCCTACGAGAGCTTGTGGGCCCCAGCTGTGGAGGCACTGTTTGTGGAAACTGTCGGCTTTTGTTGGCGTGTTAGTTAAGTCGTTTTATTTAAATGAGAAGTCCCAAACTCAGAAATCCTTGCAGTAGGCCATCGGCGGTTGGGGCGAGGGGGACAGGAGGAAATAGTTCATTTATTTGATTGTGTCGCGATCTGAGTGTTGTCGCGTGAAACAGAGAGTGAAAATGAAGGTTCCGCTTATGCCCGCCTCTCCGGACTGTGTGTCCCAAGAGCTCCAAAAGTGTACTGATCCCTGCGCGCGCAAATGCTGTTTGAGAGATTTGCTTAATCTTTCATGTGTGGGATTGATTGATCGAATTACCTATTTCTGTGCTTCACTTCTAACACTTTTTAAATTGGCTTAACACGGATCTTTCGTGACATCATTCGTTTCCGAGCTCAGCCTTCGTCGCTGTGCTTCATAGACACTGTAAAGTGAGATCAGAAAACTGCCACATAGATCTATCCCAAAGGAACTTACACGTTTGTGCAAAAACTATAGCATTCATAATTAACTTTTACTAAGGAGCTCTGGTAGCGTAGCGGTTATGAATCGGGCTGCGAACCTCAAACTCGGCAGTTCGAAACTACCAGCTGTTCCGCGGGAGAAAGATGAGGCTTTTTGCTCCCGTAAAGATTTACAGCCTCGGAAACCCTGCACAGGGTCGCTATGAGTCGGAACCGACTCTACGGCATATAACCACCACCACCAAGTGATCCTTATGTCCAAAGTGGTACTGTAAAAATGAAGTAAGTTACTATATTTCACTTAGTACTCACTGAAATAAGCATCATGGAAATGGGGGAATGTGTTATAAAGAATGGTTATTGACTATTTAAGGTCGGCGTCCTGGTGTGGTGCAGTAGGCTAAGCCCAGGACCTCAAGGTCAGCAGTTCAAACTCACCAGCCACACCTTGGAAACCCCATACTGGGTCGCTGTGAGTCAGAACCGACTCAACACACTTAACACTTAGGGTTAGACTTTAGACAAGTAGACAAGAATGGACAGGATGAGGGAACATAATGAGAAGACAGGAATGAAAAAGCTTGGGCCAGAATTCAACAAATATTCTTGATTATCCAAGAAGTGCCACTGTTGGTCCTTGCCCTCAAAGCACTCAATTAATTCAGTCAAGGACTCTCTAATGAAACTCTTTATAATAAAAAAAAGTGGCAATTAAAAACAATGTATTAAATCCCTTACTATTTAAAGGACTTAATACTACATAAGATGGTAAAGTTAGAGTCCTGATGTGGCACTATAGGATAAGCACTGAATTGCTAGCTGAAAGGTTGGTGGTTCAAACCCACCAAGCGGCTCCTCAGAAACTCTATACAGGGTCGCTGTGAGTCTACTAGCACTTAATAACAACAACAAGGTGGTAAGGAGCTCTGCAGGAAAACAGGTTTTGTGCTCGTAAAGAACAGATTCAGCTGCACACAACCACCACCACAGAAGGTGATGGTTGTTAGGTTCCTTTGAGTTGTTTGGACTCACAGTGACTCAATGTACAACTTAAAGATACACTGCTCAGTCCTGCACCATTCTTAACAATGGTTGCTATGTTTTAGCCCATTGTTGTGGCCACTGTGCCCCAACGGCCACTATGTCCATCTATTTCATGGAGGAGCTTCCTCGTTTTCACTGACCCTCTACCAAGTATGATATGCTTCTCCAGGGACTGGTCCCTCCTGAGAAGATGGCCAAAGTAAGTGAGATGAAGTCTCACCATACTCACTTCTAAGAAGCAGTCAGGTTGTACTTCTAACAAAACAATTATGTTATTTCTTTTGGCATGCATAGTATAGATAATATTGTTTGCCAACACCATAATTCAAAGACTTCCATTCTTCTTTCATGTTCCTTATTCACTGTCCAGTTTTCACATGGATATGAGGCAGTTACAAATGCTATGGCATGGGTCAGGTGCACCCTAGTGCTTTTTCACACTTTAAAGAGATCTTTCTTTCTCTCTCTCTCTTCTTCCTTCCTTTTTCTTCTTTTCTTCTTTCTTTCCTACCTTTCTTTCTTCCTTCATTTCTGTCTCTTTCTCTCTCACTCACACACACACACACACACACACACACACACACACACACACACAAATTTATTCTTTTAGGAGGCCAAAAGTCCAAATTCAGGGTGCCAGCTGTAGGGGAAAGCTTTTTCTCTCTGTTGGCTCTGGAGGAAAGTCTTTGTCTCTTTTCAACATCTGTGGGGATGACTTTCCTTGGGAATTGACATGTATCTTGGTATCAATCTTCCCTTGGATCTAAGAGACTTCCAGCCAGTCTAGGAGTCCTAGATCCAAAGGGCACACACTACTTCTAGCTCTTCTTTCTTGGTGGTAATATCATTTGATATGTTGACTACTGCGTCCATGGGTGTTAACTGTGGATCTGGGTAAAATGAAATGCTTGGCAACTTCGGTATTCTTTTAGTTTATCATGGTGTTGCTTACTGATCCAGTTGTGAGGGTTGTTTCTTTTATGTTGAAATGTAATCCATACTGAAGGCTGTAGTCTTTGATCTTCAGCAGTAAGTGCTTCAAGTCCTCTTCACATTCAGCAAGCAAGGTTGTATCATCTGTATATCTTGGGTTTTCAAAGAGTCTTCCCCCAATCTTGATGTTGTGTTTTTCATATAGTCCAGCTTCTTAGATTATTTGCTCAGCATACATCTTGAATAAGTTTTATGAAAGGATACAGCCCTGATGCAAACCATTCCCCTTGCTCTGTGAGTACAACTGCCTCTTGTTTTATGTGTGGATTTTGCATGAACATAATTAAATGTTGTGGAATTCCCATTCTTCACAATGTTATCCATAATTTGTTATGATCCACATAGTCTAATGCTTTTACATAGTCAATAAAGCAGAGTATTTAAGATCCAAAATCCATCTGACATCAGCAATAACATCCCCAATTCCACATCATCTTCTGGATCCAGCCTGAATTTCTAGAAGTTCCCTGTTGATGTATTACTACAATCGGTTTTTTTTTTTATTGTTTTTTTTTTTTATCTTTAGTAAAATTTTACTTGCATGTGATACTAATGATATTGTTCAGAATTCCCATCTTCTTTCAGATCACCTTACTGTAGAATGGGCACAAATATGGATCTTATCTAGTTGACTGATCAGGTAATCTTCCCAATTTCTTGGTATAAACAAGTGAGCACTTCCAGCATTGCATCACTTTGTTGAAACATCCCAGTTGGTATCCTGTCAATTCCTGTAGTGTTGTTTTCCATCACTGCCTACAGTGTCACTTGGACATTTCCCTTAAATACCACTGGCTCTTGATCAGATGCTACCTGTTGAAATGGTTGGATGTTGACCAATTCTTTTTGGTACAGTATATTCCTTCCATCTTCTTTTGATGCTTTCTACATCATTCAATATTTTGCTCATAAAATCTTTCAGTTTTGTAACTCAAGGATTGAAATTTTTTTTAATTCTTTCAACTTGAGAAATGCTCTTTTATTTTTCTAACTCCTGATCTTTACATATTCCATTATAGTACATTACTTAGTCTTTTCAAGCTTTGAAACCTTCTGTTCAGCTCTTAACTTCATAATTTCTTCCATTCACGTTAGGTACTGTACATTCAAGGACAAGTTTCAGAGTCTCTTCTGACATTCATTTTGGTATTTTCTTTCTTTTCTGTCTTTTAAATTACCTTTTATTTTCTTTATGAATGATGTCCTTAATGTCATCTACCAGCTTCTCTGGATTGGTCCTCAGTCATTAGTGTTCATTGCATCAAATGTATTATTTTTTTCTATATATATTAGTATTTATTTAAAATTCTGGATATTGTATACACAATTTGCTTCTTTTACCTAGCAATTTTTGGCATTTCTCTGATAGCACCTCTTGTAGTGGTTACGAATTAGGCTGCTAACCGCAGGATCAGCGGTTCAAAACTACCAGCTGTTCCACAGGAAAAAGATGAGGCTTTCTGCTCCCATAAAAATGTACAGCCTCAGAAACCCTGTACAGGGTCGCTATGAATCGGAACTGACTCCACGGCACATAACAACAACAACAACCGCATTTTTTTAAGCCACTGCAGAATATAAAAATTTTACAGTTATCTGAGTTGGTCATTTGTTAATAATCAAGTTAAGAAACAAAAGCCACAATGCACAATAAATTCTCCAATTTCAAAATATATCCAAGTTCGAAACCAAAAGCTACAATACACAATAAATACTTTTGAACCTATCTTTTTGTTAAGAATTAATTTCTAGAACAGGAATTTGGGTTCAAAACCAGGAGATTTTGAATTTTAATTGTTAATTTATACTTTAAAATTGTTGTAATAATTTATCATTCTGAAAATGCTATTTCTTTGGATACCATAATAGCTCATCTTTGCCGACATAAACTTACTGCCATTGAGTCATTTTCTGATTCATAGTGACCCTATGCATACAGTTAAACTGCTCCCTAGAATTTCCAAGGCTGATTGATCATCATTATGGAAGCAGACAGCCACGTTTTTATACCACAGAGCAGCTGGTGTGGAACCCGGTCT